TAATCGTTTATGTCCACAGTTCTTGTCTGATGTAAGCCTTAAACCCAGATTTTCCTGGTTCACTCAGCTTCATATAAGATTCCTATTTTAGATACACCTGCACAAATTTTTCGTGGACAGTGTAGCTTTGACTGATAAGCTTGTGCAGAATTATTCCCAACAAAAACGGGCGGATTTATCTGATAGTCGAAGGTTTATTGTTTGGGAACATATATGTTCTTCTGTCATTAGACAAGCGAATAAACGCGATTAATGGTTAGTTTCAATTCAGGGTTCGCCCTTTGTTTATAAGTGAGGTTTTGACAGCGACGTTAGCGATTCCTGTTAAATTGAAAAACCGAATCTGGAAGTCGATCGACGGAAACGTTTTTGGGGAACTCGAAACGTGCACAAATGCAGCTCTTTACGTACGATATCTTAGAGCAAAATCGCAGTACGAAACTTAATTTAAAACACCATTTGATTAATTTGATGCTGGGTGTACTTCTGCTACATTGGCACGGAGTTAGTGGGACATTCACGCAGTCAGACGGTCGATGATTTGATTTTAGTTTGGCACTCCGATTTAGGTGTCTCGGAATTTCCATTTCTAATCGAAATCGACGTTACAACTTGTGTTGATTATTACATTATACAAGCAGCCTGCCAGCTATCAGGTGGGTCAAGGCGAAGAACAGCCACACTGGGCACTGACATCGGACAGCATTGCCATACATCTACATTCTGGTATGATCACACTAGAATACCATGCCGTGCCTGTTATTCACAAGTCAGCTACCCGTTTCTCGGCTGACTGTGCCAAAGCAGCGTGGGGCTAATCCCTTACTTTAATGCTGTCCCATGAGCGGATTCGAACCTGGTACCTCCGGAGTTGAATGCCGACCTTTTAGGCTCTGTGCCACCACGCCGCCGTTCAGATGCATACATTTGTGCTGATGATGAGCACGTCAGTCGTTTTCTATTCGTATATGGTTAATGGAGGAGCATATCTCTTGCGGCGGGTCGAAATCGGATAGCCGGTTATTTTTTGTTTTAGTTGTCTCCCTCAGCCGTTTGCAGTAGCAGAACGTCCATGATTCGTGCATCTGCTGCATTTCCATCGTTTCAACGTTTTTGCTATTGAGCATCGCTTGCACTAATGTAGAAGGGATAATTTGTTTCCTATTCAGATCTGTTTCTGTTTTGTTGATCCATTGCATGCTGGCGGCTCAGCTTACGTCTACCACGTTTCAGGTCCGAAATGATAAGTTTGTAGGTAGTGAGGGATTTTTGCTCAGTCAGTTAGACAAACTGTATTATACGCGTCCGGTAGGGAATAGACTTATTCTGTACACGGTCCCGTTATTTAGTTCTCATTATGTATCTAAGCGAAATTTGTTGTATGTTGTTTAGTGGTCATTCTTTGACGTTCGTTATAGACATGGCTTTATGCCGTGTAGCGCACTGACCTGGTAGAGGCAGGGTACAGCTGATTTTTCTCTCGAAGAGATATTTCTTTATCCGCTTAAAATATGATCATGCTGCTAAAAGAGGAAGGTATCGTTCTGTTTAACTCTGATTAACTAGTATCGTCTTGGAGATTATGGAAGTATTATACTTAAATTAGTCAATCCCCTCTACTGGTGCACCTGCAGATCTTTGTACCGGTTGTGTTCCTTCGTACTTTTTTTGATGACTATGAAGAAAGTCAGCGGCTTTCGGTACAGCTTTACTTACTAAAGCTACAGCGCCATTATGAAAACCTAGCTTGAACTTGCGTAATGATGACAATGACGTTTGGGTTTATACGTTAAGTATGGTTTCTCCAATCTTGGGTACAGGCGGCTGAAATGGGCTTTTTAAGATGAATCGCTGGGCTCATGTGTCTCGACACGATCCGGAGTTCAGATTCACGATGCATGGTGTACAGCCGTCTCCTCTCCAGATTGAGAAGTCTCAGCTACAGTAGTTGCCGTCGCATATCACGTCTTGCGAACTGTTCCATAAAGAACGGTGAAATGGGTAATACTTGTTCAACCTACTGGCTAGAGACCTTGGGGGACGGCCGAGAATGACCTGTGGCACGTGTCTCGACACATTCTGTTCCAGACTCGGGCTATCTTTCCGAAACTCAAACCTGGCACAGGATCGCGAATGTTGGAGAAACTGGCTGATTGTCTAATTGTTTCGTTGAACTGGCACCTATAGTTGTAAATTTCGTTCA